CAGGGTGGGGGCTTTTGGCGGGGGACGGCAGGGGAATTGGCGCCCTGCTAGTATCTCCGCCCTAGGCGAGATACTAGCAGGCCTAGTGATAGGGCCGGCCCTGCTCTAATTCTACAGTCATGTATATGCTGAAAGCTGAGAGCAAGGTGTTTTCACAGCACTGCAAGCCCCCTGTTAATGTCTATCTGTCTGCATCCTAATGTAGGAATTCATGTTGCAGCCCAAGTGATTTCCTTCACCCATGTGGGTATTTGTGACTGTATTATCACAGCAGTATAAATATTTATTTATTTATTTTATATCTTCGATTTCTACCCCGCTCCAACCTCGAAGGGTCTCTGAGCGGCTTACAAGTTCCGAATGTATCCCTAGCTAAGGCCACATGTCTACGGGGTTGGGGCTGCCTACCGGCACCCAGGTGGCAAGGCTCGCTGTTTTTTCTTGGTTGTTCTCCCCGGGCGGTCTTTCGGGTGTCAGTGCTCGGTTCCTGGTGTGGTCGTCCGGTCCGGCGGCTTCTTCTTTCTTTCTTTCAGCGGGCCCATCTGGTATGTGGGTCGTATCGACTTACAGCCCAGCTAAAGTCCGTACGGCTCCGCTGCGCTTGGGTCACGTCACCACGTCCTTCTGTGGCTCTGCCTCTGTCTCCACCTCCATCGCTCCGCTTGCCTTCTGGCAATAGGGAAGCAGTGGCCACACTCCTAGAGGCCTACTGTGTCATTCCAGTAACAACCACCACATTTCCTGCAACTTTTAATTATTACAATGATGGTGGGAGAAAAGAACAGAGTGGATGCCTCATGTGATCGAAATGTGAACCATGAATAAGTGACATTGCAAGTCACAGATCCATGAATGACAAGGGTCTACAGTTAACAATGTGGTCTACCATCACGGTGGCACAGGAGGCCTCTACATACAGAAGCTGTAAGCTGCTTTGGGTCTACATTAGGGACAAAAGCAGGATATAAAGATCTAAATAGTGTGTTGCATAAATGCCTGGTACTTGTGGTGTTCTACCAAGGTGGAATGGAATGCAGAATCCAAAGAAGTCTCCGGTGGGGGGCTTGAAGATTCACAGTGGTCATTAGGGGGCCAATTCTGCACTTGTCCAGTCTTTTCTGAAACAGAACTGGGTGGTTCCACCCACCCCTAGGGCAATACCACATACTTTCCTGAAAATGTAAATAACATATGTGAAGTGCTTTGAGAAATCTAGTTAGACAGGGGGAGGGCAGGCCTCCACTTCTTGCAGCAAGGGGCAAGTCTCCCAAGACAACACTGTCTACCTAGAGCTGCTGGTTTTCTCCAATATACCAAGCTTGTCTAGGAAGCAGGTGCCATCTGGAAGGCTCTCCCCTGCCAGCGAAGAGAAGAAAAAGGTCAACAATTAGAACCAGGAGCAATGACTTTGAATGATGGAGATGTAGGTTCCAATCTGTTGCATTTCTCCAGAGCTTTCCAAAACGGGCATGAAAGGTGTTGTCCCATTTTATCCTCACAAAGGAACCCTTGTGATACATTCAGCTTAGAGTGACTTGACCAAGGCCATTCAAGGCTACACACCACATGATGCTGGGCTTCTGTGACTTTGGCCATAAAAATCAGCTACTGTCCCCATCCACGCACAGACTGGGTATGTGGGCTGTCACAGCTGTCCCTTTGAGGAAGGCTAGTCAGGCCAGGACTGAGGAAGCCATCAGACCATCCAGTTACCTTGGTTACCAGCCTTTAGTCCACCAGAAAAGGGAGAGAATCCATTAACAGGAATACTCTCCTACAGAATAAAAAAGTTCCAAAGCATTGCATTGTTGTGGTTTTTTAATTATTATAAAAGTCTGTCAAAGTTCAATCTGGAAATCTTTTGAGGCTAGCCATTTTACCCCCCCCCCAAAAAAAACACACACACTTACCATTTCCCGTACAGACTCACACACACACACACACACAGAGAGACACTTAAATCCTGGTAAGAAAAAAGACAGGGACAATGTGGATTCTTGAGTCCTCCTGTGGCTTACAAACTATTGGGGAGGGGTCATTTCCAATTGGAGAAATAGGATGTAGGAAAGAGTCCCTACCTTCCCCTGACCATCTCAGGCGCACACGCACACACATCTGCTTTCTAGGTCAAGTTATGCATTTAATGTTCCAGGGAACTCCAACATCACATGTGAATCTGGCCCCAAAGTGTAGATCTGAACTCGAGTTTGCCCAGCATTTAAGTCTGTCAGCACCCCAATCACTTAGTGGCTACATCACATTCTTCCAAAAGAGATCAACAAAGCAAGAGCTTAAGAAGAGTGCTGGTGGATCAGGTCAGTGGTCCATCTCCACCAGCATCCTGTCTCGCATGGTGGCCAGCCAGCTCTCTTGCATGGCTGACCAGTCCAGCACAGGGGCCAAAGCCTCCCCCTGAGGTTGCTTCTTAGCACTGGTATTTAGAGGCTAGGGAGAATTCTGTGGATTTTTCCTTCTGGGAAGGCTGAAGCAGGCTTACAGGCATTCCGCTGGACTACTTTATGCAGTGGGGATTCCACATTCCACAGTGGCTGTTTGAGGAAAGTGAAGCGAGGAGAGGCCTGGCAAACAAAAGCAGGCCGGGCGATCTGCATGCAGACCTCTTGGTGGTGTTTGTTCAACAAATGTCACTTCTCCACTGGGGCCTCTTTCTAAGTTACCTGTGGGCAGGGTCCCGGTTCTCCAGTGACCTCCAGCAGAGGGCGCTCTGCTCCAGCTTGACTGAGCATTAGCCAGCAATTTCACGCTTGGGGGACAGGAGGCGTTTGCAGAGAACTTCTCCGGCTGGAAGCCAACAAGAGCGCTTATGAATTACATCACGGGCTCAAGTGAGTGAGCAAGGCGAGAAGCCAGCCAGGGCGCACATGGAGCAAGCAGCTACCTTGCCAGGTTGCAGAGACCCACCAGCCTGCGGCTGAAATCGCCCTCGGGGGGCAAGCAATAAAAGCCGCCTCCCACCCAGCCGGACTTGGAGAGCCGTCTCGTCACTTTCCTAGCCTCGCCCGGGGGAAATGCTCAGCCCCGTGGACTGCAGCGGCGGAGCCATCTGAGGCCAACGGCGAGCACGAGCATCATCTGCAGCGGAGTTTGCAGCGGGAGGGGCGAGAGAGAGAGAGAGAGAGAGAGAGAGTGAGCCCCCCCCCCCTTTCCAGCCTCGCTCAGTGGATGGCTCGCTGCGACCGGACCAGCAGAGGCTGAAGAAGCCGGTGCCTGCCGGACTCCGCTCGGGGGACGCTGCTGCCGGCCTCCTCTCGCCTCCCTCCAGCCCACCCCGGCCCGTCCTCCTGCCGAAGAAGCGAGCGAGTCGGTGGTTGCCATGGTGACGGAGCCGAAAGTGCAGGAAATTTAAAGGCGCTGGATCCCCGCGCAGCAGACTGACTGGTGCCAACGTGCGTGGCGGCGGCTGCGGGCGTGCGAGGCGGGGGGCCGGGGGCCCGGACTTGCCTCGGCGTGCGGAGCCGCCCCGTCCTCCTGGAGCCAGAGGGCCCGCGCCGAGCCCAGAAGGGAGCCGATCTGCCAGGGCGGGCTGCGCGGCCGCCTCCACCCCACGCGCGAGGAGAGGCGCCCGCCGCGTCCTGAGGGCGAGCGTCCCCTGCCCCGCCGAGAAGCTCAGGGTGGCCCCGCGGATGCCTCGGCTCGCCCCCGCTGCCCGCTGAAGCCTGCCCGCCCCCTCCCCTCCCCTCGCCGCCGGCTCGGAGGATGGAGCATTCCCCGGGGGCGGCGACGCTCTACGCCCTGGTGGTGCTCCTGGGGCTGCGGCTCCAGCACGGCGCCGGCCAGCACTACCTGCACATCCGCCCGGCGCCCAGCGACAACCTGCCCCTGGTGGATCTAATCGAGCACCCGGACCCCGTCTTCGACCCCAAGGAGAAGGACCTCAACGACACGCTGCTGCGGGGCCTGCTGGGCACCCACTTCGACCCCAACTTCATGGCGGTGAGCGCGCCCGAGGAGCGCCCGGCCGCCGGCGACGACCTGGCCGAGCTGGACCTGCTGCTGCGGCAGAGGCCGTCGGGGGCCATGCCCAGCGACATCCGATATCAAGGGCATGGAGTTCCAAGATGGCGGCGGCCAGCAAGAAGCACCGGCTGAGCAAGAAGCTGCGCCGGAAGCTGCAGCTGTGGCTCTGGTCGCAGACCTTCTGCCCGGTGCTCTACACGTGGAACGACCTCGGCAGCCGCTTCTGGCCCCGCTACGTGAAAGTGGGCAGCTGCTTCAGCAAGCGCTCGTGCTCCGTGCCGGAAGGGATGGTTTGCAAGCCGGCCAAGTCGGTGCATTTGACCATTTTGCGGTGGAGGTGCCAGCGGCGCGGGGGGCAGCGCTGCACGTGGATCCCCATCCAGTACCCCATCATTGCCGAGTGCAAATGCTCCTGCTAGGGGGGCCAGAGAACCATGGGTCTGCACTTAACGCCCCCCCCCCGAGAAAACTGCGGGGAGGGCCATTTAATCGTACCCCGCCCAGATGCCCAGGACACAACAAAAAACAAAATGACACGGGTGGACTTTGACACATTCAAAGATCCCGACAACTTGGTCGCCTGATCCAGACGTTGCACTGTACTGTCACGTGTAGGAGAATGTACTTTGAGGTTTGCGAGCGTGCGTGAGAGACTGGTTGCGTGCATGGGTGCGTGTCGATTAAATATAGCCTCCTATTAAAAAGGTCAGTGTTACAACGTGAACTCTTTCTCGTCTACTGTATTTTTGAGAGTCTTCGTCGCCTTGATCGCGGCTCGCTCCTTTTCCACCGACCCCGCCCCCTTTAATTTATATTGCAGAGAGAAGCGGGGGGAGGAGAACTCTTCGCTTTTTTGCGAAGGCGGGTTTTTAAAAAAAAATAATGGAACGCGAACTTTTGGTAAGAAAAGAAGCAGTTTATATATAAAAGAATATTTTCCATTCTTCGGAAAATGTATATCTGCGTCGCGTGTGGATTTTTTTTTTTTAAATGGACTTCAAGATATTATAATAAGCTTAGGGCAGCGTGTTATTGTATATAGTGAACAGAAGTTTTTTTTTTAATGTCTTCAACCTTCTGTAAATGGAAGAGAGTCTGCTATTTATTCTTTATATTCATTTCCTTTGTAGTCGAAAAGTTGAGTTCAAGAATTAAAATCAACCACTAAAACACGAGCTCTGTGGATTCTTCGCTCTGGTGCTGGGCGGGACGGGCGAAACCGGCTTGGGTTTAGCCATCAAGGAGGCGTCGAAAGGGACGTTTGTCGCGTTCAATGGCTTTTCTGTGTGTGGTTCCCCCCCCCTTTGCTTTCCCACCTCTTGAGGCATCTAACGTAAAATCGCCCTTTTCTACCCGCCTCGTACTCGGAAATAAAGTTCCCCTGACTTCAATGGGACTGCCTCCCCAGTGAGCGAAAACGATTCATCTTGCAAAGCACAGACGGGGGAAGGGGGGGGGGGCGGTGCCTTTTGGGGTGTTTCCT